TATGTTTATCATTTTGCTTGACAAAGGAAGATCCAAGAAAATTCAAAGAAAAATGGCTCTGCTTTGCAAACGGCTTTGCTTGGCAAACGAAAATCCAAGCAAATTCAGAGAAATTCCAGAAAATTCAGAGCCTAGAAAATAAATGATTAAGTCAAGAGGACTGCTTTCTGAAATAAGGGACCATCCTTTATAATAAAGGGCGTACAGTCCCTGTGAACGTAACGCGGTGGGGTTAAGAGTTGCAGAGAAGGGTCCGGATTCCTGCTGGATCTGCATAGGCCTCCCTGTAAGGCAATGTCTGCAGCCAGTCAGTTAACTCTTCCTGCAGCGCTGGCCATAACCAGTTGTCTGGCTTCCCCATCCTGGCTCGTACAATCCACGCATAGCTTTATATAAGCTTCAACAGGCTTCCATACAATGGTGGACTGCACCGCAAGACAGTTTTGGGCTGTTTTCTGAGCCTCTGCACATACAGTCCTGCACCAGCCAGAGTTTGTGGACTCGAGCACTGTTGGCTGGTTCATGCCGTGTGTTAAACCAGAACCAAACCCAATGCCTCATGGCTTGGTGTGAAGTAGGAATGCTGGCAATTGTGGCTTATCCAGCAAACTGTGGTTCAGCAAAGCTTGGCTTTCTGGGATGAGGGAGCCCAGCCATGGTAGCAACAGTGTGGGGATAATTGTGGGGAACTTGTTGAAAACACTTTTTTCAAATTCGGCCCTGCACAGGATAGTGCTGAACCTCTTTATTGGGGGTGAACATACAAGCCCCACACGCCCCGTCTGATCATATTAACAGCAATGTGATAGAGCTGCTTGAAGTCATGGTCTCTGAGCTGCTCCCTCCCTTTGCAGTGTGCAGTAATAACTAGACTGCACTGTAAGGCTATTTTAAGAATTCAGCCTCCACTTCCCATCCTCTACACATATTCTCTACGCATACAGTACTCTGTGCATCGTTCCGTTTTATAGGTCGACTATCAGCTCTAAATGAACAGGAGCTCCATGCTCCAAGTGAGAAGGCAAGTTGATAGAAGAGGAAAAAGAAGCAAAAAACAACGAATAAGTAACAATAATAACTGGACGCCCGAATTTTGTGAATTTATTTTGAGGTCTGCATAGTATCTCCTGCAAAAAAGCTGCTTAGTCTGCAACATATCCTGTGGCAGACTGTTTTTCCTTCCTGTTTATTACTTCATTGCTCAACTTTATCACTGTTTCAAAGCGAAAGAGACTGCAGGTATCACTAATTTGATGTGAACTCTCGTGCATTACACAGCTCTATCCTTTCTCCTATATCACATCAACTCCTACCAATTTTGTGCTTTCTATAAAAGGTAAAATTTTCCCAAACTTTCCTAGTTGATGTTAAGAATTCCATGATAAGATTCCTGGCTTCTGTTTATAGGAGCAGAGGATTTTTTCAGGACCCTGAGCATAATGTTTTGGGGAAGAGGATATTTGGGACCATAAGATTAGTCAGATACCTTCTACATTGAACAAAAATTAAAAACAGATCTTCATTTTGAGCAAAGCATGAGTGAACAAGTCAGAAGGGCAACAAGGATCCAAGAAAGATGGTGAAGCAAATGAGTTTATTTTCTCTTTATGAAATACAATTCATTTTCCTATCATTTCTTTCCATTTTTATTCATCATTGCACAAGATGTTTCGGAATGGCTGCGTTCTCAGAAATTCATTAAATCCCACCATTTTGTTTCAAGGGATTCGGAGAGAGCCAGGCATTCTGATACCGAAAGCCGCTGCCATTTGCCTGTAATCCCAGTCCACAACTTTTTCTGCTACCTCCCAACGAGGTGCCTTCATCCCATCCAGTGCTAGAGCAAGATTTTCCCTTTTATCCAAGGGCAATCTCAGGGTGGGCAAAATCTGTGAGGATTTCCCACCCATCATCTCGGAAGGAAGGTGGAGGACTGAAGTGAGTAGGAACAGAGACCGTTGAAGCCGGTCAGGGATCAGAAAAGGACAGAAAATGTCATGCTGGTTTTCTTTTCTGCTGACGTAGGAATGGGATGATAGCACTTCAGCCCAGTGGTGGGGACAAGCAGGACCTTGTCCTGCTAGATAGGAAAACACCTAAACAGCATTTGCTGGGTTGTTGATTTTGGTTGGCTTCAAAGACAAACACAAAGGCGAGTAAAAGGCGACTTGAAGACAGTTCTCAATCGATCAAATTACTTTAGCTGTGATTGCCTTCTTGCTGATTTTTCCACTGTGTCCATTCAGCAAGTCTTCAGCGAATTGAAGAATGTGGCAAAAACTCACAGGGGAAATGGATATTTGGTGACTGATGGGGGATCAGGAGTCTTCATTTGCTAAATCCATAATGTGTCCAAGGAGGACTTGGAAACTTGGACGCTCCTCTGCTTTCTGGAAGAAAGGAGAGAGAGGAAATGGCTTACATAAAATAGTTTACAAAAGAGAGATAGAGAAGGGACTTTCTCTTAAGCACTTAAAAGATATGGCTCCTCTCAGTGGAATGGATAAAAAAAGAGAGAAGTTGTGAGGGGTTATCAAAGGTGGGACTGAAATAAAATAAGGGAACATCGTAGCATCACTCAGTCTGTGAACTACAATGGTTCACACGTCCCACTATACCACACATTTGTTGATGATGGTTTGTTGAATACGCTGCAATAGGCTGAATTCACACAAGAGACTAAGTCGAAAGCCATGATTTAGAAGCCGCAAGGGCTGTTTGCAGGCAACGTGGTTAAGCCAAATCAAACGCAGACATCATGGCTTAGCCCAAAGCATAAATCCAACCTGTGAATGTTATTCGGCTTTTGGAGGAGACATCATGGTTTAGTGGTAATGCATATATGAAATCCCAGCCAGGGTGGTGTTCTTCTTCACATGTAATAGCCTCTGTTGAAGGTACTTCCCAGTCCGAATCCATACAAAAGAGTTAAACTACATAATACAGTAGCAGTAATAATAATGCAAGGATCCTAAAGGTGCTCATTCACAGTGGGTACCTGAACAGCACATTCTATGCAAATATTTATGCATATTTCATGATGCATTTCCTATTTCCTTCTGAGGCATTAGAGATTATTAATTTCCAATATTAAAGCATTTGGGAAATGCTTCTCTGCCTTCAGGAAAGAAATATTTACTCAAACTTCCTGCTCACAGCTGGGATGAATCCGAGGAAAACTTACCTCGTGCCAACAACTGTACATGATGGTGTACACCCTCTCGGAGGCCAGCTGGGGACGGTACAGACGCAGCCCTTTGGTGACATGCTCCGTGGTCTCGCTGTTGGTAAACCTCTCATAGGGCATCTTCCCCAAGGTGTAAACCTCCCACATCAGAACTCCTGTCCATGATGAAAACATCACAGAACTTGGCATCAGAGCACCATTTAACCTCTTCTGAAATGCCTCTCAGTTCTGCGTTCCTGGCCACTGGACCACAGAGTTTTTGGTCTCTTCCTGAAAATACACTCATGTATATGGGACAAAAACTGTATTATCAGGCAGGGTTACGGTGCATTCCCTTTAGGGTGAGGGGTGCTTTCCTCATGTAGCTACTGTTGGAGGGTCATCAATCCTGGATCCTAACCTCCCAACCACTTATAGGTGGGGGCAAAAGGATTGCACTGGAACACCTTCTACTCACATCTGCTCTGGGACCTAGGAATCCTGTCAGCGGCACGGTCTGTGGCTAAGAATACTTTTGTTTGTCATTAAATTCATCAGCCCAGATGGCTTCTCCCTCTGATACTTCAGCTTCCACACACAAACTGTCTGCTCACCAAAAGCCCAGATGTCCGATTTGCTGCTGAACTTGCTATACAGAAGAACCTCTGGAGGAGACCACCGGACTGGAAATTTGGATCCCATGGAACTGATGTAGTCATCGTCCAAGACATACCTGTAAGCAGATGGTTGGGTTGGGCTACTTCATTGTGTAATCCTCAAGCCATGAACTCAGGCGGCTCACAACCCATTTAAGAAAATAGACTATTAAGTGAGGATGAAAAAAAAAATCAAATCAGAATGAACCAATCTGTCAAACATACATTTTCAGTGAAGCATTTCTAATAGTAAGACATCTTAGAGTCAGTTTTCCAAAGCAAGAAATATTCCATAAGCTGAGACCTGAATGACCTACAAAAGTATAGCTTTGAGGTGTCACCAAGCTTTGTTTTTAATGTTTTGTTCAGTAAAATAACATCACATTCAAAGGTGGAGTAGACTTCCTTTGCTACACAAATCTTGCCCAGGGCATCCTCCAAAAGTGTGGACTCCAATCCCAGAAATCTCAGTCATGGCATGTTGCTGGAGAATTCTGGGAACTGAAGTCCACCTTTCTGAAAGAAGTCCACATTGGAGAACCCTAAGCCAAACAATTGGTTTGCCATTCAGCAGTTGAAACCCCTCTTAGAAAACAAGATAATAACCTTAAATATTCCACAGGTAGATTTTTTATTATTCCAAGCAAGCTGCACCATTTTAAGCAATCAGGCTTAATACGCTACCTAACTCCCTCTTTTACCCCATCCAAATTTTTAAGAAAGACTCTAGCTGGTGTAAGATAGGGCTAAGAATTTGAACAGGAGAATGCCAGGCTGAAATCTCATTTTAACTGCCAACTCAGTGAAGACCTTAGAGAAGCCATTCTTCTCCTAGCCTTAGTCTCCACAATGGAAATATGGGTTTAGTATGGATAATGTTCAAACAGGAGAGAATAAAATGAACAACCCAGCCTACAAATACATTGGCACCAAAACTAACCTGGAAAGACCAAAATCAGAGACTTTGACCACACCTTGTTCATTGACCAAACAGTTGCGAGCAGCCTGTGGCAGACAGACAAAGAGAGGAAACCTCATATTAATAGTGTGATCCCCTAATACAGCAAATCCATCTTTATTACAGTCCTGGACCACTACAAACTTAAAATTACTGTCTTCTGATAGTCAGGAAGCCCAATCCTGTTACAATTCTCTGTATAGGGAACTGACTATAAATATTTTACATAAATAAATTTCCTCTGGACAGAAAGAAGAACAGGGTCTTGCTCAGGGTTCAGTTCATACAGTGCCAGGGAGAGAGAAAGCCCTTGAAGCCACCATGAAAGATAAACTACCCCATCCTGCCTGGGGTGAGTTGGAGGGGGGGCCCTGATGGCACTTTTGCCCCAGTTCTAAAACCCCCATCATTATCCCAGGACTCCTGTAGGTGGAGGAAGACCTGCAGTGAACACCCACATTGCACACACAAGGTGACAGAGAAAATGGTTTCTTGGGGACAGCTCCCAATTTGAAGACTGCTGCCTTGAAAATAGTTTTGTTATAATAAAACAGCAGCTAGGGTTGTTTTTTTTTTCATTTTCCCTTTAGCTCCATTAACAGATCATTCTGTCAATAGCTCCATTTCAGTTCCCCTTTAGCTCCATTAACAGATCAAATCTGTTTTCAGCTCTCCACTTTGATGCCCACCTTGCTCTTCTATCAGAAATGAACCTGGCAGTCAGCAGGTTCAGAAAATGGGTGTGTTCTGATAATGATTAATTTCTCTAAACAGGGAGGTCAGGATTCAAATCTGCCTGGCCCTGCATCATTGGCTCCCCAAAACAGATCTAAACCTGTTTGCTTATCTTGGGAAAGAGAAGACGGCCTATTTTTCAATGCTCAATTGCAATGTTTTGCATCAGGGGAGGAAGCTGTGGGCCCCAGGAGAACGTCTCCAGAATCCCTACCAGTAGATATTTTGGTGAAGGTCGTGGGAAGCTGTCCTTCAGCAACATCTGGAGGGCCCCAGGACATCCATGCCCACACCCCTGGGGGTCAGACAAAGTCACCACGGTAGTACAACCCAGACAGTTGACTTGAGTTTTCTCCCTTGGCTGAGTTAAGCAGCGTGTCACCTACCAGGTCTCGGTGTAGAAACTGTTTGGATTCCAGGTATTCCATGGCCTCGCAGACA